CTTTCTTCCATTTCTCTTTCTGGGGTTGCTGTTTGATCAAAAAGTTCCAATTAAGATATATCTTTTAGAAGTCTTATTAATATTCAATAGCTCTTTAAAATTCTAGGCAGTCTCATCCTTGTTTAAATTCTGCTCCAATTTTTTTTCCTCTCCCTTCCCACTTACAGCAAAAAGATTTTCCTTTAAGTATTCAGAAATCCATACCTCCAATGCGAGTTTTCTGATTTCTCTTAAAGTTCTATCGCTGTCACATTCGGAAGGAGAGTGAAAAGACAAAAAGTTTTTCCTTTAATTTCCATTCGCCGCTTGACACATTCTGGAAACAATGTATAATTGTTTAATAAGCTTTAAATTCCAGGGTACTTTGTTACTTTGTCCCGGTCAGCAAAGATCACTTTCATTTCTTGACAGCTCCTCCTGCACTTTCTTTTTCCGGCTGAGCTCTTCTATGTGGCGGCCATTGCTGACCGCCGCTCAGCTACCTTTGGAAAAGGGGGTTTAGCCGGCTAGGGAAGAGAGGTGCGATGTCTCTCGACCCTGCCAGACCCCCCCTGTCTTCGCCACCTTCTACGGAGGTGGCTTAGCCCCGAAGCCAAATGACTCGGGGCACTTGGGCAGTGAACACAGGCAGAAACCGCGCACAGTCACGGATTCCTGCCTGCTCCGAAGCGCTGCAGACCGGAAATCCTCAGGTTTGGAAAATTCTTAATAAATTCAGCCTTGTGGAAATTGATAATCAGCAAGTTAATTTTGAATCTGTTCTGTTTCATGAAAACCTAAATCTGAATATCAATTATTGGTAGTTCACTTCCTTCTGTTCGGGACATAGCATATAGGCGATGGTTGAGCAGGGTCCGCAGGATTGTCTAGGACGCTTACACATACTCTTCGCGGTCTGTTTTCCTTGTTACCTTCTGGGAGAAGGCTTCATGGGATCCAAAGCAGAACATCCAGATTCAGTCACAGTTTTGTTCTATCTAGGATCAACCTTGTGAATTCTCAAGCTTCCTCTTTCCAATATGTATTCAAAATGGACAGTGATTAATATGTATGTATGTAGCATGGGTGTGTGTGTTATGTACGTGTAAGGGTAAAACATACTTTCTTTTGAGAGCAGGCAACAGAAGTTCATTTTTAATGTGTGCCAGTGTGCTCGCAGTAAAAAAAAAAACAATAATGATTATCTTTTCTAATAGCTGCATTTTTCTAAATGCTAGAGAATAGCATGATTCAAAATCAATGCTTGGAAGTATATCCAGGAGTGTCTAGAAAAGCAAAAAGTTGCATCACAGGTCATGTTCTGAAGTGTCTTCCTTGAAAGTAGTAGTTATTGGTATTAGAATTGAATTTATATGTGAAGCTTTATGCTTAAGAAACTATTAGCATGTATTTGGATGAACTCCAAATTCCATTTGGGAGTATCAGTTTGAATACAGCAGTTCTAAATACTACATTTTAGAGGAACAAAATTGAACACCGTGAAATGTAACATAGCTTTTTTTGTTCCTAGATGAAGGCTAGAATTGCAGCAGATATTGATGGAAAGACCTCTCGCCTTTTATGGATTGGTTTAGCCTTAATGTCTACTCAGGGTGGAGCCCTGGCTTGGCTCACCTGGTGGGTCTACTCATGGGACATTATGGAACCTGTTACTTACTTTATCACATATGGAAGTGCCATGGCATTCTATGCATACTTTGTACTTACTAAGCAGGTAAGGAGCTTCTTAAGGTGATACATACAAAAATCAGTTTTGACTGCTTGAAATTTGAAACACATGCACAAGGCTTTGAAGTATTATGCTAAGGGTCCTTAACTTTTACTTTTGAGAGAACAGTTGTAGGGTATTTGTTTCAAAAGTTCTGCAAATTGTTCAGAGTTCAGTTGATCAGTAAAGACACAAATGCTTCAGGTTCTGCAAGCCTGAAAAAAAATCACCTGCTGTTTATTATAATATAGCACCTACTTAAAGTAATGCAGTTTATGTATCTTGTGGATGCTATGCAGGAAGGAGTGATTATCTTAGTGGATTCAGTTCTTTTTTTAATTGGCAGTCTTTTTAATAATACAAAGACATATCAGCCCTTATTCAATTATCTGGGGACACTAATGCTTTAAAGAAAAATAGGTTCATCAAAGTCTTGCTATCCCTGTTCCCATTTTCTTTCATGTAAAAATCCTTGAAAGAATTTATTATGTGGTAATCATAATATGAGGTTATTACCTTGTAGATCAGATAGGAAACACAACCAGGTGAATTAATTCTACTTTATTATAAAGTGATTTGAATAGAATCTTGCAAATCTAAAAATAAAATTTCCTGGCTCCTTTACAAAGTAATAAACTAGGGAGAGCATCTTCTGAGTCTCTTGCAATGAACATTACAGAGCTGAGGGCTCTGCTCTCTCTTATCTGACCATTCCCTAGGCAGCTTCTCTTCGCCCTGTCTCCCAAGGTCCTTCCCACCATTGCCATATCTAAAAACAATGTTCTAATATTATTCAAGATACATTAATTGTAAATAAGTATTATTTCTACAGAAATCTGATCATGCAAATCAATCCTTAGTAAATCCTTAAAAACCCTTTCTAAAAATTTTAGATATTAGTATTTGAGATATTGTTGAAATGATACCCCACAAATAATGTTTGTTACAAAACATTTTGTATAAACCAAGCTTATAGCCTTGCTGAGCACAATTAGAATTTGGTTTATTGTGTATGATGATTAAAATCTGGTTTAATGAAATATACAAGTCCACTTAATGCCTTGTTTCATTTTAATTCAAGGACTAAGCTTGAAAGAGATTTTGTATTCTGCAGACTTCCATGTACGAACCAGGGGAGATTACCTGTGTGGTTGATTAATTCTCCAATGAGCTGTTCAGAGCATCCAGTAGTGGACCCTTTGGCAGAAGAGTTCTGCAACGGGTCCACAGGGACCAGGAGGGGATTCCAGGCCAGATGCAGTCCCTCCCGTAGGACAGGCCAAGCTTTGGTATGTTCCACTACTGGATGCTCTGAACAGCTCATGGGAGAAAGGGCGTTGGTACTTACCTGACACGCCCGTTCTCTTTGAGCTGTGAAGAGCATCCAGCCCCACCCTTTTTCCATCTGGTGGGGTCCTGTTTTGGCCAACGAATTGTTAGGGCATTGAGGACGAGGGCATTTATTTCTCTCGTCTTCGCCAAAACTGGGGAACACTGGGGAGGAGTCCCATGGAGGAGGAGGAGCGTTTCACAAATTAAGCCCAGCCTAGACATGCAGAGACTGAAGCACCTCCCACTACTGGATGCTCTTCACAGCTCAAAGAGAACGGGCGTGTCAGGTAAGTACCAACACCCTTTTTCAGGGTTATTGAATTAATTTTTTCTTGGGTTTTTTCCTTGTCATTTAAAGGATTATATTTACCCAGATGCTCGAGACAGGCAATTCCTTCACTATTTTCACCGGAAAGCTAAAAGCCAGAACTTCAATATGATTCTATATAACAAGCTAAAAGAGGACCTGGAAGAGGTAATTAATTGCATAGATCTGTCTAACTGATTTACATGACCTTCCCATCCAACTCTGGATGGTTCACAACAATAGGAGAGTACATGATATTGTATGCATAAGAGATCATGGAAAAGAGCTTCAGTGTGTTTTGAAAGTCAATTATTTGCAGCCATGACTGGCAGTTTTACTCCTTTTTCTTTTGTACAGAAAGCAGTTTAATCTTAACTTCTGAAAAGTATGCTTTTAAATGCATATTCATAGTCCTCCAGAAGAAAGGAATCTTGTTACATTGTGGGAGTTCTTCCAATTCCATCTGTTATAGCAGCTGCAATCAGTGTATTAGGCATGAAAATTTGAAATCTTACAGATTATCTGCTTTGCTGCCTGCAAAAGCTGATAGGTTATTTTAGTAGATTGTAAACTAAACCTGCCAATTTACTCAGATCTTCCAGTTGATGAAGGATGGCTTGGAGAATAATCTAGTTATAACGTTTGTTCACAAAAATCACAGTCATTAAGCCCAGAAATGATAATCTAGCCAAAGTCTTGCACAGATTAATTCTGCTGCTAGTAACTGCAGTTAAGATACCTTTTTCAGGCAGAGAAAATACTACCCCGTGCCACATAGCACATTTACCCTGCGTCAGGACCTGCCAAACAGTTGTGAATTTAATGCAGAATAACTACAAAGTCTCTTGCTTCCTAAGCACATTCATTCATCTTTTTGTATAATCATTTCCTTTCTGTTACTTTTTCTTCTTTGCTCTTTTAAGTATTTGAAACGCACTTCAAAATTATGGTTTAGATCCTACAGAGGTAGTCTGTAATCATGTATGACTAACATGTTGCATGTTGCAAACTCAATTCAACATTTGCAATTGATTATAATTCAATTAATTAATTCCTATGTTTCTCCTTTATTGAAGAATAATTTATTGGTACGTATTCTGGCTAAGTTGGTCCAGCATCCACAGAATAGAATGTATAGAAAAGTTTATTTCAGAGTGTCTTGCTGATTGCTAGCTAAATCCATTTCCTAATTTTAAAAGTCACATTTAAAATAAGATATGTAAATTCAAGTTAGTAGGGTGCCCTGGTTAACACAATGCATAATTGAAGAATGTAGAATTTGATGGAATCTATTTACAACTATTTAATTTTAAACCATAAACTCATCACTTTTTTTTTCTTTTTACACTATCAGGTGGAAGAATCCTTGAAACGACTGAGGAACCCCTTACAATTACAACTTCCAGTGCAAGAAATCAATGACAAACATTAATTCTAAGTTTCAACCTGTTGAGTTCCCTCAAAAAAATAGCAAACTGGACATTTTGACCCACTATATTAAAGCTGAATGTAGATTTTATAAAAAACAAACAAACCCAAACCATACTTTTTGTATATATCATTTCTCCACAATATTCGAGTTTAGAAAAGAACAATCAACTTAATCTTGGATGACCAATCCATTCTTAATAAAACAAATCAATGTTTTCTTAAAGGATGGTTTTATTTTGGGATTCCTATATTTGAATGTAATTTTCATAATGAGCTAAATAAAAACAGATACTTGTCTTGGATGTCTTCTGAGTGTTCTGTTTAGGATGTTAAGAAAATGTTCCTTTCACACTTGCACAAAGTATCTCAATGTTGTAATGAGTTACATATGTAGCACACATACCACCTGAAAGATTTATGACAACAGGTTTCACAGGCACAAATTCATCTTTATCAAATAATAATAATAAAAGCTGATTTGCATGGAAAGTAATGCAGATGTTTCAGTTAAGTTGCAGTAACTCCACAAGTTAGCAGGAGCTGCTATAACTAACTGAAGGAGTCACAATATCATATTGGTCGCATAATACACTTTTCCAAAATGTTAAAGTGGGAGGGGAACAATTTATATAGTACAAACAGATTAAGAAAATGATTCTCACAAGACAATTACTATTTATGTTGAAACAAAAGAATAAAAATTTAACCATTAGTACAAAATATCCATTATAACATCCATTATGGAATGTAAACCTAAAGACAGCTAACTTTTGATTAACTGTTCCTTTATTATCCCAATGTCAAGTCTGAAGTTATTTTTAAAACTCCCTGAGGGTAGAAGAATATCTAACAATTTCAAAGGCTGTATAAAAGTATTTCTGCCTGAGTTGCTAAACTTCACAGAAGTTTTTTTTTTCAATTGTTAATGTAGAACTTGTATTTCTGTTTACCATTTCGAACCTGCAATTGTTGGCTGTGATTTTTATTACATAGATCTTTATTCACCATCTCCTGAAGATCTCAGTTTAGCTAAAGTAATAGACTATATATTAACTAAACACACCTTTTAAATTATCACTACAATTCTATATATCTATTCAGAATCAACTCTCATTGAGTTTAATGGAGCGTATTTTAGATAAGTGGATATAAAATTGATCTATTTTAACAGTACTGTTTTTTTGTTTTTGTTTTTGCTTTGAGTCCTGCAGAGCACACCACCGCTGCCCACCACCTACATAGCCAAAAATAATAATTACTCTACCATGCAACTATGATTTGGGGTAGAAGTACAGTTTTTTAGTTAACATTGAAGCAAAGCAAGGGATCTGCTTTTTCCCTATAGCACCAATATCTTTGCATACATCTACCCTGCGATGTGATACCTTCCTGTTAACAAGCATCAGTAATTCTGTGAATTCCAGGGAAGCACCATGCTTTCGTATCATCTCACACAGATCTTGAATATACCAAGAACCATATACAGTCTCCCGATGGGAATAGAAACCTATTGGAAGAGGAGGGAGAAAGGATTACATTACTGTGTCAAGAAATCAGCTTTAGCTTTTGACTTGTATTTATTAAGTAACCAAAACAATGTTGGGGTAAAAGTTTGTGTTTTTTTGTTTTGTTTTTTGAGCTTTTTCAATGTGCCAGGATTCTGAAATTTTTGTTACATTTGTAGTATTTTTGCTTGGCAAAAATAATTGGAGGATTTTTTTACATGTCCCAAAAATTTAACACTCCCCTTTTATTAACTATGTTTATATAAGTAGTACTAGCTGATCCAGTTCTGCTATATTTCATTAATAAACACTGCATCTAGTGAAGTCCAATTATTTTAATGGTGGCCTTTGTCAAGCTGAGCAAGGAAGCTGATAAATGGCCATAAGAGAATGTGTTCCCAATGGCATTCTCTAAAGTGAAGTTAAAAAAGACTGGGAAATGAATCCTTACATTTATTTGAGCATGCCAAGCCACAAACTAGTAACCCCATTTTAGCCTATCCTAGCTGGTATAAGTCTTTCATAAATTTGTCATCTAAATATTATCATCAAAGTTGCATTCATAAATAGAATACAGACCAAATAGTCCCATTTCTGCACTCATTGCAAGCATCCGCAACAAGGAAATATTAGAAAGCTGAAAACCAAACATTACAGATATAGTACATTATTTGGTTGTGAGCCCCCTAGAGTTGCGTCTAGGTAAAACAGGCAGGCATATAAATTTAATAAAAATAAATAAATCCCTAAAGATTTATTTCTTGTAGGTATTTAGTTTGCTATTTAGGCAAAGATAGTTAATATGTTATCTGATGTGATGGAAATATGGATAGCTGACACCACCCTGGTTAGAAAGAAGTTCCAGTAGTGATTTATACCAGGGGTTGCCAACCTTTTGGACCTCGGGGACCACCAAACTCATAATTTTAAATCCTGCAGACCACTAATAAAGCTGCCTGGGGAATTCTGGGAGTTAAGTCCGCCAGGCTTAAAGTTGCCAAGTTTGGAGACTCCTCGTCTCGATGATGGTCGATATGGTCAGACTTCTGAACTTCACTTAAACACCGATTTTAGCAGCTCGGAACCCCTGCTTTTTCAGATTTAGGGAGGAGGAGGAGGAGGAGATGTTCTTGGGATACATACAGCTGCGAGGCTTGTCACCAAAGCGGCACTTGAGTTCCCAGAGAATGGAAAGCAAAACGCTAACCCCTCCCCCTCCTTGGCCAAAGTTGCAATCCCGTTGCAGAGGCCACCAGTCTGCTCCATGGCTGTGAGAATCCTTCCACGGGCAGGGAGCAGTTTCTCCAGCCATGCCTTCTTTGTTGACGCGGGGGTGGACATTTGGAGAGGATCCCTAACTTGGGCCGAGAGGCAGAGCGTGTGTGTATGACCAGATCAATCCAGGTGCAGTGGCGGAGCGAGCACTGGGCTGCTCAGCAGCAATGGCAGCAGCACTCTGGAAGTGAGAGCGAAAAAGCGGCAGCAGCAGCGGGTGGGACTCTGCCCGCCTGTCCAGCAACTACGACACGCTGCCTGGGCGCTTTGCATGGTCATTTTCCCTTATTCCCTTGTTTCGCCCCTTGCAGACAGCTGCTGGTAAGAGCTGGGCTTACCAGCTCTTCCTCTCTGCTGCTCCGAGCTTGCCTTCTTCCTTGGGGAGTCATTCCCCCCACCTGCTTTGGTGTCCTTTCTCCTCCCTTTTTTTAGGGCTCAATCCCTTTTCTGCTGTTTCCTTGCTCGCTTCTTGTCTGCAAGAAAATTCCCCACCCCTTTTTCCTACCGACTGATCATTATTTGGGATTGCAGGATACCGTCTCCAGCTTCATTCTCAGGAGGAGAGAGAGAGAGGGAGGGAGGGAGGGAGGGAGGGAGGGAGGGAGAGAGAGAGAGAGAGAGAGAGAGAGAGACTGACTGACTTACTTACTTACTTACTTACTTTTGGCTTCATACAAGGAAAGCAGCAGAAGTCTTTCTCTCCCCCAAACTCCGTCATAAATGAGTATTTGCCGGCACAACCTCTTGGAGCAGGATGCCTTGCAGGGTCCCAAAGACTCATTTCTGGCAGAGTTTGGGGGAGAAAAAGAAAGACTTTTGCTGCTTTCCTTGCGTGCAGCCAAAAGCAGAAGAAAGAAGCAGAAAGAAGCAGCCCAGTGGCCAGGCCAGGCATGGGATGAGTGGGGCAAGTTCCCCCGCTCCACCCTTCCCCCCTCCCTTCACTACCTCGTGTTGTTCAAAATGCAAGCAACACAAGTCTTGTGTTCCCAAGGGCCATGTGGGCGGCACAGCCTTGTGTTCCCGTGAAGCCTGGATTAAGTGCTTTGGGGGGTGCTTTGGGGTGACATTTCTCTGCGACCACCAAAATTTTCTTGGTGACCACTGATTTACACAACTAATGGTAAGTGTTCCACCATTTCTTGCAGATTCTTTCTATCTGACATTTATTTACTGATTAGTTTTGAGGAGGTTTGTTTTTATTAGCTTGGGAGGGGTATTAAATACAAAAACACTTGGTTGTCAATATCTATTCAATGTATAGCATGAATAACCAATAAATGATACATCAAAGCAACTTTTCTTTAAGAAACTATTGCTCGCTTGATGAGGTTAAACATTGTTTTCCTCTAGGACAAGGGTGTCAAACTTGTGTCATCATGTCATGTGACATATTGCAACTTTTCTTCGCTAAAATGGAGGTGGGCGTGGCCAGCATGCGACGCATCCGGCCCACGGGCTGTCAGTTTGACACCCCTGTTCTAGGATAACACTGATTTTGTTTACCTTCTGCCACAGAATAACACATGAGGAAATCAGCACCAGCAGGTAAAGTATAAATTGCAGCAGAGTCAACTTCAGTTTCATTGACAAGTGAGCGTTCTGTAACGCTATCCACCCTATCGTGAGCAAAGACCGGATCATCATGCTTATCTCCTCTGCATGCCTAAAATTAGAAATAAAAGAACTGTTGGAAATGAAATGAAAGTTCACTTAAATGATTGAACATATAAATGCCTTTAATTATGCCCTGCTATAGATACCAGTGATGTTTTGAATTTTTTTTAAGATGAAGTTATTACACAAGGACCCTTGTGTAACATAAACAAAATCTAAGGTGATTTTGGCACTTCTTCCACCCATCAATTTTCCTACTACAAATTGCCAGTCATAGACACAAGATTTTACACACTTTGATGGTAAATCCTCAGGGAAGTTTAGGTTACATAGGTAGAAATATATGAAAGTACATCAGATTTTGACTAAATCCACCAAACGTTACACTTCATGTTTGCATTGTGTGCATTTAAAAGTGATGCCTTTAATATATAGAGGTCAATTTCTCTCTTTCAAGAAGATTGATTTTAATCTCAGCTGTGGAATCAAGAACTCCGCCATCTCACCTGAATTACAAATATTTTTGGCTTCCCTATCAGGCTAGGGCATTTGTCACCTCTGAACATATTGGTCAGTTTTTGTATCTGTATTTTAGCATCATAAGCGTAAACATGGTTATCTTCTCCATGGCTCAAGAAAACGCACATAAAGCAATCCGCATCTTCATGTTGCTCTTTGGACACTACAAAAATAATAATGCAATTTATCTACACAAAGAAGTTATTTTTATATTGGTGGCTATAAAAGTAATGAGGTGTAACTTCCTTTAGCTTGCTCTGGACATAAATCAAACCAATCCAGTTCTCCCACATGTGAAACAAATAGTTAATTTTATTCTGAGCTGGATTTAGAAATTGAAAACTCAATCGACACTCCAATACTCCCTGGTGCCTACTGCATCATTAAAACTATCTCATCAGATGCCATGATTGCTTACTTTTGAGACCTTAGCCTCAACCTTAGTGCTTTTTCTGCTGTCTTTTAAACATAGCAGATAGCAGCAAAGACATCTGAAATGCTTATTTTCCACCTTATTTTCTAAAAATTAGAGATGTGCAAAATTCACCAAATGGGAAATGAAACCCTTCAGAAAACAAATATGCTGAATTAACTTTGTTCTGGACCAGTTGCCTGAAGTAAATTCTCTGAACTGGTGATGATCTAGAATGATCCACTCATGTCATTCCAAGCGAAACAAGCCTGTTTCACTTGGAATGACGTGACTGAAATAGTTCAAATGATTTCCAGTTTAGCATAATTTACTTCTATAAACCACTGAACTATTAGAATAGCACAATCTGGAGAAGGTTCAAGATGATTTGGAAGATGAGCAGAATGGTCTCGAATTTTCCAAAACATTCTGTTTTTCAACTGATGAATTTTGCATACCTACCCCTAACTAAATTCGCTATAAAATTGTTAATTTTTAGTTTTAAAAATGAAAAACATTACATTGTAAAAACAAAATATTTTTTTTAAAAAAAACTTAAGATGTTGAGAGACAACACTGGCTTATTATACTGTAAACATACAGTATAATTCAATAGTTAATAACAAATATGATAGGTGGAATGTGAATAGCTTAACAGGCCAGGCCTGGGAGAAAAAAAAACATAGTATGCAGATCTTTCTATTTGGTTGGCTCTCCCACAGTTCAATAAATTAAATCTTCATTAACCAGAATTATTTTCTTCACTAGGAACATTAATATTAAAAATTTTGCCAATAAAATATAACCACTAGCCAAGCATCAACATCAAATACTTGCTTTACCTACCATTATAAATGTTCTGCAGCACTTCTTCTGCTCTAAGATCATCAAAACATTTCACTTCAAATCCAAGTTCAGTAAAGCTATTTTAAACAGAACAATATTTCACTCCAGGATCATGTTCATATATTCTTAATGACTCACATATTAATATTTAGATCTTTCAGTGGATGCAACATTATCTAATGTCAAGCTTTAGCAATTTACCAAAACACCACTTACCGCATTCTTATGCTAGGAGTCCTCTAGAAAAAAGAAGAATCTACTTTCAGAATCAGATTGAGTTCCAAATTAAAATATAAATGCAACTAAAACACCATATTTAGTTAATATGTTTAGTTTAACCATATTAAAAATACACAATATTTAATATCAATAATATTCTATCTGTAACCTTAAAACACCCAATGTTTAAAATCTGTACTTGACATAGTACAATTAGGATTAGAAAAATATTTTGAGAAAATAATTCTACAAGTTGTTTCTTTCACTGCCTAACCCTAACCCTAATATCTCAGCATATGATCTTCTGAAATATTGATCAGGAATATTTAAAGATGTGATCTTTCACGTAGGTGCCCATGTCCTGATTTATAAATTATACAATCAATAATGAAATTGCACAACTATTCACACTGTTGTAATGAAATAAATAGCATTCATATAGACATTTAGTATCAGCCTATGATACTGTAGATCAGAGGTATGTTTGAGGAAGCCATGAGATTCCTTCAACATTTTTTTTAGAAATCCTACATTGCAAAAGCTTTTCTTTAACATATAGACATACTGTTTCTGCTTCATTTCCCCTTCCATGCTCCATTATCCTTGGAATGCAAGAGATAAGTTGGGTGTGTTCCATACGCCATTTTTAATATATTTAATATATTGTCATGAGCCTGGATAGAGTCCACGTTAAAAAAAAAAACTAGACAGCTGGGTTGAGTCAGACATGTGAGCATAGGGTTGATTCTGCAGATGAAAAGTCTGAAACAAACTCTAACCCATCATGAGTACCAGAACTGACCTGAGCTCAAAGTTGTTCCATTTGGGGGCCATTTTCCTGAGAGCTTTCCTCCAAACAGTGTATGAATGGAAGAGAATATACTAAAATAGTATTTTTATTTATTTTAAATATACTTTATTAATCTTTTATAATTTTAAAAAGTCAAACAACAACAAAATAGATCTTATATCAACAGTGTGACATTTGTCTTATATTTTAAAATGTATATTTTGTGCATTATTTACAAATATACAAAAATGTGTGAATATAAATCATTAACTTATCTAGTACTTACCTCTATTTACAATCCATTTATCTAACTAAAATAGTATTATTTTTTTTAATGGTGCTAACTTTAAAATCTGGATTTCAACTGCCAGAATTCCTCAACCAATACGGTATCTGGGGAATTCTGCGTGTTGAAATTCACACATTTTAAAGTTACCAAGTTTGAGAAAAATTGTAGTAAAGAATACAGGCAGTTCTCAACTTACAATCAAAACTGAGCCCAAAATTTCCAAGATAGTTGTTAAGTAAGTTTTGCCCCAAGTTTTATGACCTTTCTTGTCACAGTTGTTAAATGAATTGTCGCATCGTTAAGTTAGTAAGATGGTTTGTTAAGTGAGACTGGCTTCCCTATTGACTTTTCTTGTCAGAAAGTTGCAACAGGTGACCATATGATCCTGGGACACTCCAATTGTGATAAATATGAGTCAACTGCCAAACATCCAAATTTTGATCACATGACCATGGGGATGCTACAATGGTCATAAATGTGAAAAATGGTCGTAAGTAACTTTTTCAATGCTGTTGTAACTTAAAATGGTCACTAAACGAATGGTTGTAAGTCAAGGACTATCTGTACAGAGGAGGCTTTTCTGTCTGATCTTGCTTTGTGATGGAGAATGTCAACTTCAGATAACAGATAATCAGAGTTGGAAGGGACCTTGTAGGTCATCTAGTCCAATCCCCCGCCCAAGCAGGAGACCTTACACCATTTCTGACAAATGGCAGTCCAATCTCTTCTTGAAAGTCTCAAGGGATGGCGCTCCCACAACTTCTAAGGGCAAGCTGTTTCATTGGTTGATTGTTCTCACTGTCAGAAAGTTTCTTCTTATTTCCAGGTTAAATCTCTCCTTGTTCAGTTTCCATCCATTATTCCTTGTCTGGCCTACAGGCGCTTTAGAAAATAGCTTGACCCCTTCTTCTCTGTGGCAGCCCCTCAAATATTGGAAGACCACTATCGTGTCTCCCCTGGTCCTTCTCTTTACTAAACTAGCCAAGCCCAGTTCCTCTAACTGTTCTTCATATGTTTTAGTCTCCAGTCCCCTAATCATCCTGGTTGCTCTTCTTTGTACTTTTTCTAGAGTCTCAACATCTTTTTTATAATGTGGTGAACAAAACTGGATACAGTACTCTAGGTGTGGTCTTACTAAGGCCTTCAGTTTAGGATTGTCTTTTATTTGGGTAAATATGTTAATTCAAGCAACAGAAGTTACTTTGCTGGTAATTGAAGGGATGGAAATTAATTTATTGAATAACCGAGGGTCAGAAATCTGTTGCAAAATCAGCCAATCAGCTCTCATGGAATACTTTCTTCCTTGACACACAATTTCTTAAAAAATGGAAGTAGTTTTAGAAAAGTCATTGGATTTGTCTTCTTCATTGTAAAAGAAAATACACTGAACAACAATTATTCCTTTACCTGCGGTTCAGATTGTCTCGGTCAGCACAAGTACCACGTCTCTCCGGTAACATTAAGTGCCAGAAAAACCTCTCATGATTAAAGATCAAAGCTAGTCCTCTTCTCTTGTGTTTCATTTTGTATTCCACAGATGGATCAAAGAGCTGGTTGAGCCTGCAAAAAAAAAAAAAAAGGTAGCCCAGTTAATAAACTTAGGCCTTTCTCATTCATACAGTATAAACACATCTGTACAGTTAAGAAGTCAGTGGTTAGGATTCAAAGAACTGTACAATTAGTGCAAATTTTGAATAATTTAATTTGATTTACAAGAAGGATATCCTTTACCATTACAGGTACATTTTTGGTACCTACATACCAATCATACTATTCCTATTTAGGATAAAAACATTACACAGAGTACAAAAAGGCAAAAGGAATATTAAGCCAAAGAAATTAAAGACATAAAAGAAAAAAAAGTACTACAGCTAAAACTACATTATATCCACACCATTCATCATAACTTTTTTTCCAAACTACTTGTCTAAGGATTATTCTTTATATTATTCATGCTATCTTGTAGTCTTGTATGGACTGCACTAGTAGAGACTAAACCAATATCATTGTGTAGCTGATGTACAATGACAATAAAGGCTTTGAACTTGGAAACTATGCTTCTTTCTACCATGTTCATACTTTGTTTCACATATAGCCTTTTGTTATTTAACTTTGCTAATTGCCTCTTTTTAGGATCGTTACCCCATGCAATCATGGTCTTCTTTTTCAAGATTTCCTTCATGTATTTCTTTTGTGATGATTCTGGTTCATTCTCTTCATGTGGTCAAATAACTTAAATATACTTTCATAAGGGCATTCAGTTTTGTACTCTATCCACATTCATTCATTGAGTATGTGGCCCAAAGGCATCCATCAAATTTATGGTGATTAAGGATGGATTTGAATATTAGTCTCTATGATCTTGGTCCAATACCTTAACCAGTATCTCATATTGTCTCTTTTCCTGTCCTTATTTGGCAATGAATAACAGATAGTCTTCTTACTCTGAAGATTTACATGGTTATTATTATTTTTACTGTATAATACACGGATTCTATTTTCTATGACTTGTTTATTGCTCACTGGTATTTATCACTTTTATTCTTCTGTTATATTTACTATGTAAATAACACTGCAAAAACCATAGCCTTAAAGTGACTTAAAACAATTTCCAATCAACAGCTAGATCCAAGTGTATAATTTAACTTGGAAATTTCTGGTTGTGATTATTTCCTCCCCAATAAACTTAAGAATAATACAGGAACAAAGCGTATGTGAAGAAAATGGAAAAGAAATTAAGTATACAGGTATAACACCTTTTCTGTTTGATATCAGACATCTGATCTGAAGAGAGATTTGATTTCAAAGTTTTTATAAAGTCTCACTTTAAGAGTTGCATTTGAAAAAGAAGGTCATACCTTCTTTCAAGCACTCAAAATACATGTATCCAATGGGAAAAGGTGCAACACTGATGGATAGCTGTAATTTTAAAAGGAACCTGATTTGGTTACAAAATCAATTATCCAGCTAGGAGATCAACTGATCCTAAAATGGTTATTTTTATTATAAGCTTCTTGGAGTAGAGCCATACAAGATCCACAAATAATTATCATGGTTATAAGGAAAAAACCTTGCAAAAATCTCCTGACCCAGAAAAGATTACCTTTCATCAAAAGCATCTGTTTCACTGAAGTTTTGCTGCTCATCTGTAAATAGAAAACAATTCAAACATAAATAAATCAAAATAATTTCGCTTCCACATAAAAAATGTGCACATATAGGTAATACATTTACACATCCACTCTATTTTTAAAATATATTTTAAAGATGTTTTCACTGCAAAAGCACATTTTTTAGGGAAACATGTTTTATGGAAATCCATAAACAAAAAAAATATAAGTGATCAAAAAAATAAGAAAAGACCCAAACTAAAAGATGTACTTAATTTACTTTAAAACATGCAATCTAATTTTACATAGTGAGAAACAAAAACTGTAGTCCTTCACCATCCTGACATACAGTTAAATGACCCAATTAATCCACAGAAACTAGACTGGATCCCAGATAGCCTTGTTTGAGATTTAACTAACCACTCTTCCAGTCTACTAATTCCTGTATGGTATGTAAACTCCTTTGGTTAACAGCCTCTCCCAATATCAATTACTGAACTAGAGAAAGAAGTGCTGCAAAAAAGAGACCAATATAGGCCCATCGCTGCTGCCGTTTGTTTTTCATCTTGGAGCCATATGGGAAAGGGGCAAAAATGATACACTTATGTGCCTGCACCCACAATTCTGGCCCTGGTGCTGTCAACTAAATTTGTGCCAATGTGGACTTTTAATTATTTGTTCCTCCAAGAAGAAAAGAAATTAAAAGCAGAAATCTCGGAGAGAAATTTCAGCTTACCAAGTCCCATTTATGAGTATCTATGGGGAGCAAAAACATGACCAGTGACGAACCAGTCTTCCCAGATGCTAATTTTTGTGTGCTGCTGGGCTGCAAGAGTTACTGAATTCACCATGACCATGTCATGCAAACAAAAACATTCCTCATAATTTGGGGTGGTTTCAATCTCTTGCTTTTTTTCCTATTACATTGCAATTTAGAAAAAAATAAGTGTCAAATATACACACACACACACACATATATAAATGCTGGGTACCTTACCTTTGCATTGTAATATGTTCTTGCTGTCCACGTGGATTTCTTCTACAGTAAAAAACAATACAATGAGTATCTCTCTTATAAACCATGTTCAAACTCAATTGCAAAGAAAAAAAGACAGGACTCAATATTTACAGCAATATAGAGTATGTATTTCATAACTGAGGCATATTGCAATATACTACAATATAATCAGCAAATGAGTTTTTAAATACAAGTTAATCACATAAAGCGTTTTCTCCAAAGGTTTTTCAGTGTTCTCCTCAATGTTCTTACGAAGATTGACAAGGCAAAAGAGCAGCATTGCTGTTTTTATACATTCTTCCACATGGATTTAATATTGTATTCTTAATTATGAACATGAATCACGGTATTTCAAATCAGAACTAGGAAGTAAATCTTTACTGACTGGTCACAAAGTCAAGGGCCAAGTGTATTCTTATAATATAAATTGTAAATTTATTCTAAATATTACATGGTTGTAAATCTATATTATTAGAAATCTTGAAACATTACTGTACATTGTTCAGATACAATGATATCTATGCAGTATTTAACTTTATTGATAGTCTATTGTTTGTGTAACTGAATGTATTGGAAATAAGAAGAAACAAATATTCTGTCAATATGAATTACAATTTAAGATGTTATTACAAGCATAAGTTACAGTAGTCCTCAACTTACAACAGTTCATTTAGTGACGGTTCAAAGTTACAACAGCACTAAAAAAAGTGACTGAAGACCATTTTTCTCACACTTATGACCATTACAGGATTCCCCATGGTCATATGATCAAAAATCAGATGCTTGGCAACTGACTCATATTTATAATAGCTGCATGTCCTGGGATCATGTGATCCCCTTTTGCGACCTTCTGACAAACAAAGTCGATGGGGAAGCCAGATTCATTTAACAACCATATTATTAACTTAATAATTGCAGTGGTTCACTTAACAACTGTGGCAAGAAAGGTTGTAAAATGGGGCAAAATTCACTTCAATGTTTCACTGAACCAAGATAAATTTTGGGCTCAATTGTGGTCGTAAGTCAAGGATTACCTGTATTTGACTTTTTCATCCAAAATTGAACATAACATTAGAAAAAAACCACCCAAATTGCAGAAAAGTATATGATACATAATAAAGGTTTCAAATTGATTGTTAGTCTCTGTTATATAGTTGCTTTATACCAGTGGTGGGATTCAATTTTTTTTACTACCGGTTCTGTGGGTGTGGCTTGGTTGGCATGGCAGGGGAAGGATACTGCAAAATCTCCATTCCCTCCCCACCCCACTAACCTGCTTTCCAGCTCTGTTCTCCTGTGCGGGGCAACAAAAGAAGACCCAGCTCATCAGGTGGGACTCAGGAGGCAGAGAATAGATGGGGGCAGGGGCAGTCAGAGGTGGTATTTGCCAATTATCCAAAGTACTCAAAATTTCTTCTA